ATCGAGGATGACGCCACTGTTAAAGCATCACGTGGGATTTTCCCAAAGGCACCATCAGATGTATCAGGCGTCTGTGATACATGTCCATCAGAGCTTTCTTTCCATGGCTCAGGCTCTAGTGTTGGCTGTCGACTCGTACCCAAAACACTTCCTTCTTCCTTCGCTGTTGCCACCGCTATCAAGCCCCAAGTCAGAAACATTCCGAGTTTCGGTTTCACGGACTTACGAAACACACGCTTAACGAACTCTTTCCATGGTCGCATGATCCCTGAGTTAAACTCAGGATACGCGAGGTCGAACTGATTCCCAATTTCGGTCGCACCAACATGAAAGCTCTGGACATCAATCTGCCCGCCCATTGCTGGTGTTGGGCCACCCATGAGAACTGTGAAAACGAGACCAGTGAGTCTCTGGAGTTCGTCGAAGAACTCAGAGAGGACACCAGGTAGTTTATCAATATATCTGGAGACACGAGGTGAGTGCTTGTATCCACTTGGATATTGTAGATGCAACTAACACTTGATGGTCAGCTACCCCTGCGCCCTTCGCCTCTTCCCACTCTCTCTTCTTCTTCTTTTTGGCTTCTTCAATGAATTCCGCCACCTGTTGTTTGACCTCATCGGACGCTGAGTGATACAGCAGGCTCGTTTGCTTCCTGATAACGGCTATATTTGATGGCATTCTAACCTCCTTATTCTCAGCTGCAGCATTTGCCACAGCTTCGGCCCTTGCTCTCTCAATGGCGAGATTAAGAGTAGGTTTAATCATGTCATCGAAGAAAAGCTCGAGAACGCCTCCGTCACCTGCGGACCACGAACATGCCTCGCACTGCTGATCATCTGAGCGACCATACTCTTTTTACTGGCTACCGCCGGTGTCAGGGATGTGCTTGCTGCGGCTACATCTGCTGTCATCATTTTATTGTTGCGGTTTTTGGTCTGACGGTTGACTTTAGATGAGCCCATATCATTTTTGAATTTATTCATAATTTGCTGACGAGTCAACGTTCTCATAAGCCCTTGCTTTCGACTTATGAATCACGGTAACGTACCTGTCGACGGTGCTCAACGGCCTTGCCTACCTCGGTCTTTTGCTCGACGGTCAATTCAACATCAAGGGGGACATCCTTAAAGACACGAAGCCATTCCGGGAATCTCGAAAACCATTCCTCGAACACTGGCTCCCAAAATCCACTATAGTTGCGCTTTGCCTGACACACTTGGTATTTGCAGCATGCGACTGAAAGAACTTCTCTTCCTCGACGGTAGCCCACTTTGGCGGTGCCATCTATTATTCATGGTGAGTGACATAATAAACATAAGGATGTCTCGTTAACACGCACTTTTTGTCCGAGATATCGTACTTTGTGCGTCGATGGCAAGCGAAATGAAAAAAGAAAGAAGCTTATTTGACCAGGAAGTGGGACCTAGTGATGTGCGTGGTGCACGGACCATCGAAGCTCGATGATTTATATTCATTGCAAGATTTAGGTGGTCAATTTCCTATCTATGTACTGTTTAGCGTGTCATACTGCTCAGGACAGCTTTGGTATGACAAACTCGGCTTTAAGGATTAAGTTGACACCAAAAATTTCAGAATTTCAAACAGTTAAAGTTCAGCGCTCAGCGCTTAGCCCCGAGGAACCAATCACTCTTTAGATCGGAGTTGAATTTAAGGTGTTCATTACTCACTTACTAGCGTGCACTCACTCACTAGCGCCCCACTTGTGATGAGTGACTCTACCTCAGCGTATCCCCCCCATGGGCCTCCCAAAGAGCTGACATTCACCATAAATGAGCTTGTGGCGGCACTAAAGCTTATTAGGGATCAGAATGGTGAGTATCTCGAGCTGTTTAGTGCAGGTTTGATATGATGTCAAATCTTTCAACAGAAATTTTTGAACGTGCCCATGACGGCATCACTGCAGAGTTTCCCTCACCGCAATTGATGCCAGGAGCCTGCCCGGCATGTGCCTTGCGGACGCATCGACGTAACTGTTATGCTTGCCATGCTGAGATTATAGACTCGGAGGCACCTTCGAATTCAGCCAATGTCCCGCTTGATCCCCTCAAGGCAGCGGTGAAGTGTTCCTTGTACAATGCTGAATATCATTACTTACAAGGTTGCCGTTGTTACTACAGACGCAGTTCCTGCAACCTGCCATCAAGCCTGAATGTAGATAATCTGTACTTTCTTGCTGTCCGTTCTTGACCCATGATATCAGTTCTGCCCTATCTCCTTTACTATGTCATTGTATATAAATTATAAAATGATATTTGCATCATCAATTTTTTCCTCCTCGCGCCTGTCAACACCATCACCAAATATAGCAGACCAGGAGGCAGAGTGCGTGCGTTATGTCCACCACCGTATAACTCGTCTAGGCAACTCTAGGCAACACCGCGATCGATCGTCGTGATGCTTTCGTTCAACGTTACGGGATTCATGGTGATGATTCCACGTTCATGCGACGACGGCAAGCCTTTGCACGGTGCATGGATGCCATCATCCCCAAGGATGATGAGGAGATGTCAGCTCGTCTTCGCGAGCGCTGGAGGTTTGATCAAGATTATGATAACTGCAGAAAGTTATTCAAAAAGATGTGATCTTGCCCACATTCATTTGTCCCGAAGTGCTGGTGCAGCGAGTGTCCCATTTAGGTCCAACTGTTACAGTGAGTGACCTCACGTGAAGCTTCAACGTTAACTTTTATCGTGTTTCAACATTCATTCATTTGCATCAACAGACTGTCAGTGACACTTCTTCATGCCAGCCAAGTACAAGACCGAAGCACAACGCCGCGAGGCTCGGTTGGTATCCAAGCGAAGGTGTTATGAAAGGTCTGTGTCAGTTGTATCATTCTGCACATCTAATTCTCAAAATACTTGTTTGTCCTAGTGTTAAGACCATGCACAAAGGGTAGGACTGATTCCAAAAGGCTTGGCTTCAGCTCATGCGCTGCGCCCCTTACCCGAGTATGTGCCCTTAACTTCAGAATGAAGTCCGGAGAAAGTCCAGTGAAGTCCGAAGGACTTCCGGAGAAGCGTGGGAAACTTCGGAAGGACTTTCCGGACGAGTGCGAGAAACTTCCGGATGAGTGCGGGAAAGTTCCGGAGGAACTTCCGGAAATTACGATGGAGTTTCGTCCTGACGGGGATATGTGTAATGGCTACTCAGGACTTGTCCTGAGTAGAAGGAAACAGAGGAAAGGCTGCAAGGACAAAGTCCGAAGCAGAATAAGTCCGGAGGACCGCGGGAAAGTTCCGGAGGAACATCCGGAAACTCGGAGGAATGGAGGATCGGATGAGTGGATGAGTGGAGGAGCGGAGGAGCGGAGCTCCGGCCTAGGGAATTCCTCCCTAGGCCTGAGATGGATGATTACTAAGTCGGAGGAATAGAACTGTTACGAGGACTCAGTGTGAAGACTAGTGCGAGGACTAATATGTGTATGATATTCAGACTGAGGAAATACAGGAGTATCTACTGGGGTTTATATACTAGAGGCAAGTCTGTGCAGATCAGTAAGCAGAGGGGTAAGGCTATGTACGAGCATGTGGAAATGTATTAGAAAATAAGACGGATCATAGGAAATGAACTCGGAGATGAAATGAGGTACGGAAAATGAGGAAGTCTAACTCAAGAAGGAACATACAAAGGGATAAGGCACGGAAGATAGACGCGGGTCGGATCCGGATGTCCGGAGATGAATGCGTGATAGGTCTGGGTCCGGAACGCAAGGAAGATAGACGTGGGTCGGGTCCGGATGTTCGGAAGTCCGGAGACAGGTGATTACCATAAGGGGATGGGCGCTGATTTAAGGTTTGGGTTCGGACATGACAGATAGGTCGGATCCGGAGATCCGGAGATGTGGATATCAGATCTGGCGTCCGGATATCAGATGCAGGAGTACAGGGATCCGGACGGATAGAGGATTGGGTCTGGAGACATGGACAGGAGGTCCGGAGGTCCGGATGAGGCGTGGGAACGTCGTCAGATGTTGGTCCGGAATGCGGGATATGACAGTATCCCCCCTTTAAGGCCGAGCCCTCGAGGCTGAAGACTCAGGATGTCTGGAACGGAGATTGCTGGTATATGGCAGAGGACAATGATGGATGGATTCCGGAGGATTGGTTCCTATGAGCTGAAAATCTCCGGAGGTTTCGGAAATGTTCCTGACACACACATGGTTCATTATGATGCCTAGTACTTCATCTGGAAAACTGGACATCATAGACGGTGGTGAAGAATGGTGATGTGATGTGAGGACAAATAGGTTTCCGGAGTGGAAGTCTGGAACACTTTGAGGATAATTCCGAAGGTGACTGGAAGTCCGGAAAATGCGTGGGAAAATCGGAGGAAGCTTTCAGAGCGGAGGAGGTTGTATCAGGGCAGTGGAAATGCAGCGAGTGCAGGACAAGAGGGCAAGAGTGGATGCGATGCAGGCCTCTTTCTGATGTGACGGAGGAGTCCTGTGAGACATATCTTTCTCCATGAAGCAGAGCTTGTACTGAGGTACAGCTAAGGATAAGTGCATCATCAGAAATCCGGAAATTAGCCCCTATGACCGGAAAATGATCGGAGATGTAATCGCATGATGACTGATGAACTTCTGGAGTGCAGGAAGTGAGAAAGGAGCGCTATGAGGCGTGATTTCCTTTGTACGGAGGTCTGAGGTTGAATGGATTTCGATCAGCGATGTGTGCTATCACTCGAGCCGGAAGTGCGTCAGAGGAATCTGCTGGATATGACTGTGAGCTTCCGGAAATTAGCCCCTAAGACCGGAAATGTTCCGGAGCTTTGGTTGCACACTGCGAGAGGTCATGGGCGGAGTTTCCAGGTGCACTGAAAGTTAATGCAAATAGCAGGATTTTGCACCCGGTGCGAGGCTTTTTGATAAACACGCATGGTGGATGGAAATCCTGATGATGGGGCGGATGGATCCAAATGGTCCGGAGTAGGGCTATGGCGTGGGAACCAACAGGAGTCGGACGGAAGGATGATGATAGCGGAGGAATGGGTCGGAAACATGGAGATCAGAAACACAAAGGGTCAAAAATGCGGAGGGTCGGAAATGCAGAGGAAGGATGGGAGTACAGAGAGGATGTCTTTCCGGAATATTCGATATCCATTGGTACAGCTGCTAGAGCAAAAGGATAGCTAGTGTATAGGCTCATAAAGGACGGAGCAAGCTGTTTGATGGGCCGGAGATTGCGTGGATTGACAACATCTGCAAAGACACGATTTTCCGATGGAACTCCGGAAATGCTTTCCAGGAGGTTTCGGAAGGGATGCAACAGACTGGAAATCAATGGTCCGGAGGTCAACACTGGTCAGGTGGAGGTGGATATTGAAATGGACCGGCTTCTTCTAGCTCGCAAGTCCTGCAACAGGCAACTGCGTTAACTAGGGATATATAGTCGGTTTTATCGGTGGAGGTGACACAGTGGACTTGGAAGTGGTTTTGTCAGATTAGGGTCGGATGTGGTCGGAAAACATGATAGGAGGTCCGGATGTAAGTGTTTGGCAATGCCAGGGTCTACCGTGAAATATCCGATGGGAGTCAGAACAGATATTGAGTCGGAAAAGCGGAGGAAGAGAACAGATCATCGGAGGAGATGTATGTGATATGACAGAGGTGTTTGCAAGTGGTTTGGAATTCCGGAGTTCCGGATGATAGGGGCTATGGCGTGGAAACCCATAGGAGGTGGATCGGAACATAGAGGAAGTGAGGTGGAAGTGCAGTCAAACACGATGGAACACTAGGCAGTGAAGTCAAATGCATCGGATGACTATCAATGGCCTAGAAAGATCACGGATGAATAGTTCCGGATGTATTCCAATGATATGCAATGTAATGTGCGCTTTTCCCACGGTTTTCCGGAGCTGATCCGGCCGGAAATACAACTGAATGGTCCGGATAGGTTATGGCTCAGATAGAAAAGCTGCACATGCATGGATGATTGCGCAAGACAGTGGAAATTGTTCCTTTATGGGACGGAGCAAGTAAATTCCGGGTGGAACACAGGCTGATGAGGGTGAAGTGAATACTCAAGCGGAGTCCCTATCCCCCCTTTTGGGAGATGTTTCCAAACATCAATGGAGGAAAAATGGGCACAGGGTTCCGGCAGGAGCTTTGGATTTTCGGAGGAAAACTGGACATGAGTCACAAGAGTGAACAGAATGGAACGGAAGATACAATGCAACGCAGGAACTGTAGTGCTAAAAACTCCGGAGGTATCACCAGTGCTTTTCTGGATCCGAAACAGATTCCAGAGAAGACACTATTGAATGGTGAGGGACTTTAAGACAGGAGCGGAAGCGGGTCCGAAGCAACTACAAGCTATTGCAAAGTATATCCATTCCAAATGGAGGCGGTCCAGAGACAAGGGGTGCATCGGAGGTAGGAGTAGGAGCCTTCATGAAGAAAGCCACCGGAAATCCGGAGTATTGAGCTCCGGAAATAGGGGTAAAGGTCGGACATTGGTATCCGGAGAAAAAAGGACGGGAGGACAGATGGAAGGATTGCAGAGTGGAAAAGTGAGGACGGAGGATGGACAATTGTATAAAACATGTCCGGGCTATGGCATGGAATACCCATAGGAGTGTTTCGGATCCGGAGCAGGTGTAACTTGTCCTGGAGCGGAGGAGTGAACAGATCTTTCGGAAACATGGAGATTTGACAATGGAATGGACGGATGAGCTATAATGCGAAGAAATACTTTGGTACTGAAAAGTCCGGACGTCCGAAGATATCCAAAGATATCCGGAGCTTATCCGAAGCTATCTGAAGCTATCCGGAGCCATAACACGAAGGAATACTTTGATACTGAAAAGTCCGGACGTCCGAAGATATCCGAAGCTATCCGGAGCTTATCCGAAGCTATCCGAAGCTTATCCGAAGCTATCTGGAGCTATCTTCAACAATTTCCTGGACCCGGAGGAAAATGGGCAGGAACTGGAGTGGACGTGGTATCAGTAACAGTAAAGAACAATCGCAAAGCATGTTTATTCTGATCCGGAAAAGTTCAGAGATGACAAGGAGCAAACCGGAGTTATAGATCGGAGGGGCGGAGACCTTCATCAAGAAAGCCAATAGAGATCCGGAGTTACAAAACTTCCGGAAAATAGGGGTAAAACGCGGAGGGGTTTGGAAAGTTGTTGATTTCGGACGGGAAGTCGGATGTAAGACTGACAGGCTTCTGGAGAGGAACAGATGGTTTTCCAGGACCTACTCCCGGAGAATGAATCGGAGGAGCTCCGGAGTTTTGGTTCGAAGGTCCGGAGGTGGATAATGAAGCCAGGAAATGGTCAGGAATTTGCATAGGATGTAACGGAAGCAAAATTCCTATCCTCCCTTTCGGGAGACATTCCCAATGTCGGAGGAGAATCAACAAAGAACTTCCGGACGATGGAAGGGAAAATAGGGGCTAGAGCGGAGGAAAGAGTGCCATCCGGAAATGGAGGCAGGAACCCGAGCGGGCCATTGTCAGAGGAATCAAAACCCGAACACTTGGCAGGAAAACCATCATGAAAGACGGAGTTCCCCTACAAGGAGGGTAATGGATACCAATACAAGGTGAATGCTAAATGGGTGGCGGATATGAATGGTGGATAGGGGTCCGGACTTTGACCGGAGGAGGTGCCATCCAACATGGAGGCGGACTGGAAATCAACCAGTGGAGGGAAAACATGGCTAGTCCGAAGATAGGGGTTCCGCAAAAAAGCGGATTTGACGTCGGAGGTCTAAGGCATTTCCTGTAGTACCAATCGGAAAGGAGGTCTGCAAAATACCCTATTGATCAACGGATCATGGTGGGTGAGCAAGTATATTCTAGGTGGTACGAGGAGAATCCAAATGAGTTGAATGTTTGAGACATTCCGGAGTTGACTTTGCCAGTTCAGGAAATAGTTCGGAAATGGAAAACGTCGGAGTTACAGGGAACTGTGGGGCATTGGAAAGATAGGATCGGATCAGGGAATTACAGGACACAAAGTCCTGAGACCTATTTGTTCTGCCACGGAGGTGGCAATCCTGTTTGGTTTCAGGACCGGAGTTTCGTGGTACTGAAGTGGAAATGACAGCAGAGCATGAAGGGTGGAAATTGAGCATTCCGGCGGGTGTTTTTACTGATGCAGGGAATGGAGAATGAGCTCCGGAAAATCCAGAGTTTGGGTCGGAAATAGGAGGCAGGAAATGGAAGGTTCGGAGGAGGAATACACAGTTTCCAATGGACGGAGTCGGATCCGATTTCAGGTATGATCTAAGGATTCAGTATACTCGGTAAGGTGTGAGTCTGAATATACTGTTAAGACCATGCACAAAGGGTAGGACTGATTCCAAGGGGCTTGGCTTCAGCTCATGCGCTGCGCCCCTTACCCGAGTATGTGCCCTTAACTTCAGAATGAAGTCCGGAGAAAGTCCAGTGAAGTCCGAAGGACTTCCGGAGAAGCGTGGGAAACTTCGGAAGGACTTTCCGGACGAGTGCGAGAAACTTCCGGATGAGTGCGGGAAAGTTCCGGAGGAACTTCCGGAAATTACGATGGAGTTTCGTCCTGACGGGGATATGTGTAATGGCTACTCAGGACTTGTCCTGAGTAGAAGGAAACAGAGGAAAGGCTGCAAGGACAAAGTCCGAAGCAGAATAAGTCCGGAGGACCGCGGGAAAGTTCCGGAGGAACATCCGGAAACTCGGAGGAATGGAGGATCGGATGAGTGGATGAGTGGATGAGTGGATGAGTGGAGGAGCGGAGGAGCGGAGGAGCGGAGGAGCGGAGGAGCGGAGGAGCGGAGGAGCGGAGGAGCGGAGGAGCGGAGGAGCGGAGGAGCGGAGCTCCGGCCTAGGGAATTCCTCCCTAGGCCTGAGATGGATGATTACTAAGTCGGAGGAATAGAACTGTTACGAGGACTCAGTGTGAAGACTAGTGCGAGGACTAATATGTGTATGATATTCAGACTGAGGAAATACAGGAGTATCTACTGGGGTTTATATACTAGAGGCAAGTCTGTGCAGATCAGTAAGCAGAGGGGTAAGGCTATGTACGAGCATGTGGAAATGTATTAGAAAATAAGACGGATCATAGGAAATGAACTCGGAGATGAAATGAGGTACGGAAAATGAGGAAGTCTAACTCAAGAAGGAACATACAAAGGGATAAGGCACGGAAGATAGACGCGGGTCGGATCCGGATGTCCGGAGATGAATGCGTGATAGGTCTGGGTCCGGAACGCAAGGAAGATAGACGTGGGTCGGGTCCGGATGTTCGGAAGTCCGGAGACAGGTGATTACCATAAGGGGATGGGCGCTGATTTAAGGTTTGGGTTCGGACATGACAGATAGGTCGGATCCGGAGATCCGGAGATGTGGATATCAGATCTGGCGTCCGGATATCAGATGCAGGAGTACAGGGATCCGGACGGATAGAGGATTGGGTCTGGAGACATGGACAGGAGGTCCGGAGGTCCGGATGAGGCGTGGGAACGTCGTCAGATGTTGGTCCGGAATGCGGGATATGACACCTAGGCACAAGCTTGATGAACGCTTGAAGGCCCGAACTCGTTGGCGTAAACACGTTGGAGCTACAGCGGTACGTGACTTATATTAAACTTCCCCCAATGACACTTACATACCATGCAATCGGCCAGGTCACACAACAACTTTTGCAGCAGCTCGATAACATATGGCTTGACCTAGGTTATCGTCCCGGACCTTCTCAATACGCTGTGCTTGAGGCACGCAGTTTCACACTCGTTCAAGATGCTGACAATCTGGGCTGGCCGTCTACAAGACCATCCTGCGAGGGAATGGTGTCAGACGCCCAACAACTTCTTTGCAAAGCTCGCGAAGTGCTTTCTCATAGCTTGAATACAGATGGGGCCTGTTCAGACTATCTTTGCTCAGGCGCTGCAGCTGCCGTGGATGTGGTTGAGTTGGATTATGATACATGGGAGGAAGCCTTGTCTTTGATGGACAATAGTGTAGAGACTTACTTCGATCTTCTCAAGTATAATGGTCTTGCGTGGCAGAAAGCTTTGAAACCTTGCAGCTGAATTTTTATCTAATTATTACTCGTTCATGAATCATTGCGGTCCTTAGTTTTATTCTTGTGAAATACTACTGAGATTCCACTCTTTCATGCCATACTCAAGAAGCTATGGTGCTCACCGCTTCTTTTCAACTTCTTCAACCAACCACCACCACACCGTTACACCTCTGCAGCTAAAATCATGCCGCGTCCTCTTATTGATAAGGCACTTGAGGCTAAACTGCAAGAAGGTCGTGATAAACGCAGACACTATTATGCAAAGTAAGTCTAACCGCTTTTATTAATTGTCTCTGGTGGTTCCTGACTGGTCAACCGATTGAAGAAACAGAGATGTAATCCTAAGACGGCGAAGGGAGTTTCGTGTTGAAAAGAACACGGGGCAGCCATCAGAGCTCGAGAAAGCCATTGCAAGAGCTCTGCATGGATACGACTCGGATGAAGATGGTGATGAGCCGGAGACAGGCAATTTCAGCGACATTGAGGAGAACGATGACCCACCGTACGTTGTTTTATAAATAGAAAATGAAATGAATACAAAATTAACATCCCACAGATCGGATCTCACAGGATGTCTGCTCACCCTCAAAATGATCAAAGACGAAATGGTGTCTTTGATTACTGAACCCTGTGCATTTGCTGAGGGTGTCTTACTTCAATTTGTCAACAGCATCACATACACAGACGACCGTGCCGATAATGGTGATAAGACCATTGTCACCAATATGACGGCCACAGTCCAAGGCTTGCTCAACCGCTCCATCACTGTTCAAGATCAAATCCTTACTTTTTGCGGTGTCTCAGCTGAGTTTCGTGCTGCTGACACAGTCACTCGTTACCTCAGTACTACCCTTGCATACTTGGAGGATATCGAGTTTTTCCTCGACGTGGAGGGAGTTTCGGAGCTGTGTGTTGCTCACTCGATGGGCGAGTTGATGTACCAGAAGCGTCTTCGTGTTTGAGTGGCCTTCACGCAGTAAGTTAACGGTTGTTGTAATGTAGCTTGATTTTATTGCATATCAATACAGCAGATGCGTCAGATATATTTTTACTTCAACAAATCGCATGTCGGACAGCCTTAGGTAAAGTTCACACGTGGCATGCCTGCAACGATTTTCACAGGTTTGCCCACTGTCAGCAGAATGAAGCACAGACGCGGACGGCCATCCAAAAGACCACGAGTCAGTCAGTACGTGGAACACTCACATGATGGCAACATGGACTATCTTCGGCATCGCTCCTTTGGTGTCAATGACTGCGGTTCTTTGTCCTTGCGAACAACATTCGTGGCATCTCAACCTGACGCAGTTCAATCCTGTCCTGAACCATCACTCGATTCTTGGGAGGAGACAGTGCCGAGCGAGCCCGATGACCCGTCCTTTGAAATCATGGACTCAATACAAATGACTACCATGACAAAAAAAAGAATACAGGTGTGTACACTCGAATACCTTGGTTATCAAGCTAATGTTGGACAGAACGTTCCCTTACTTCAGTGGATACCAGAACGCTCCTCATTCCTAGACGAGATGATACGTCTAGAGGGCCGTGGTGATGAAATCCCTCGAGGAACTTGTAGTTGCAAGGGCGAAGAACCATTACTTTACCGCTGCAAGGATTGCTTTGGAGTGGAAATGGTGTGCCGTGCATGTATTCTTCAACGGCATGTGCATAATCCACTCCATAGAGTCGAGGTACGTTCATCAAGCATTAGTCTGAGCTGCTGGACTTGGAAACTCACTTGCGCTTAGGAGTGGTGCAGCACGTTCTTTGTGTGAGTCTCTCTGAAGCTGCTCGGCTTGCGTATCCAGCTAGGTCACAACCCGGGAGAGACATGCTATAATCCTGAACCTGCCGCCGGTGATGATTTTGTTGTCATAGACGTCCATGGTATCCATGAAATCGGCCTTGACTTTTGCGGTTGTGAAACGGCCCAAATTCATTACAAACAGCTTATTCGGGCTCGTTGGTTTCCAGCTACTACATTGAATCCTCAAACTGCCGCCACATTCGCACTCATGGAGTTCTTCCACCTCCTCACATTTGAATCAAAGGTATCAGCATACGAATTTTACCACAGTATCGCTAGACGGACAGATAACACCGGCACCACACCAATTAGGGTATGTCTGCATCAATATTGGCTGATTTTCTGCTCACCGCTATTTCAGGATCGTTATTCAGCTTTTATGCGAATGGTTCGTCAATGGCGCCACCTCAAGATGCTCAAGCGAGCAGGAAGAGGCCATGATCCCAGCGGCGTGGATGCAACTTCTGCTGGAGAATGTGCCGTACTCTGTCCTGCGTGCCCTCACCCTGGAAAGAATTTACCTGAGGGCTGGGAGGATGCATCGCATGATATCAGGTATGTTTGGAGGCACGTTTATTGCTGGGCCTTTGCTAATAATATTCATTAGATGGAAGTATGCTCTTTTCCTTGCCATTGACGCAAATTTTCGGCTTAAGCGGAAACTTGTCTCGAGCGATAATGTCGATCCGAGTCTCAACGCCGGCTCATGCTACTTTGTCGAAGAGAATGCTTACAAACAATATCTGAGTGAGCGTGGTTGTGAGCCACAGGAGGTATAGTAATATTTCACCATTGCGCACACTCAGGCTTAATCTGTTATGTTCCTATCACAGAAAAGCTCGTGTGTCAGTCATAATGCCGTGAACATGGCTGACACAAAATCATCGAGGGGGCTTGCAGCCACGGGCGTTGGGACCGTGGACTGTGCGAGGCATGATATGAAGCTTCCTAACGGAGTCGGCGATTTGCAAAAAGGCGAAAGGTATGTTTGGCGACATTTCTCGAGCCTCATAGAGCTAACCCTAGCACTAGATATCTCAACATGGACTATCTGGTCTTTTCAGTGATGGTCGGGTTTGCCGTAGTGGTATTCAATCTATCATACGACATCGCCTGCCAATGGCACAAGAAACTATGGCCTCGCATGGCGTCAATGCCACCCCGACTGCACCTCACTGACCGCGATAACAAGACCATCCGTTTTTTCGTACCCAAATTTCATCTTAACGCTCACGTTCAATCGTGTCAAACGGCATTCTCATTCAACTTTGGGAAGAATGTTGGACGTACAGACGGAGAAGCACCTGAGAGAGGGTGGGCAAACATCAATCGTGTGGCGTCGAGTACCAAAGAAATGGGGCCAGGAACATGCCGCGATACTCTGGATGATCATTTTTCGGACTGGAATTGGAAAAAAGTCACCATGCTCGGTAGGTTTCTTACTGGACTGTTTCATTTGCAATCTCACATATTTACAGGTCAACGCATGCTTCGCAAAGTCAAAGAAGCCTCGAGAAGAGCTAAACTTCATCGAGAAGAGCTCAGCGAACTTCAGCGATCGATTCCAGCATCATCGCTCTCTGTGTGGAAGTTGGAAATTGAGGCATGGGAGGAGGATAGCACGCAGCCCAACCCATTCGAGAGCAGGGTCATCCGTAAGTCGTTTTCTCTACTCGTTTTTCCAAAACTGACGTTTGACAGCCATGACTCAAGCTGCTGTACGCCGCCAGCTGGCTGAGAAGGAGGCTGTAGACTTACAAGCTGGGGTGGATGTTTCGTTGCACGCCGACATTTCACCAAGTCTTCTCATTGCATCAGGCATTGACTTGCAGGATCAGCAGTAAGTATTACAATATCATTAGAACCTCCTCTCACGAAAAATCATACAGACGGCGTTTGGCCGCGGACATTTCTGCACTGGGTCAGCATGCGACCGACATACAGAAGACCAAGATATTCAATCAAAGTAATGCTCTACAACGCCGATTGGACATGTGGGCTCAGATACAAGTCCTTTACATGCCCGCCGTTGCTCCAATCCGCGCTATGGAGGACGCTTGTCGTTCTGAAGGCACTGCAGCACTCAAGCCAGAGTCATTTCAACTCAGGCTACCATCCCAGCTGGCCCCGCACCTTCCTTGCAACCAACAACTTCGTGAATGTGAATGGGAGCTCCGGTATGCTCAAGCCCATGACGCATTGAACGATGTTCGACAGCATATCCGTCTATTCACCCACCTCAATACATTCAGGACGGCGAATGTACGGGGTCAACGTGCCTCTACTCGTGCACGCACCGCTCTCAATCTCGCAGAGCAGAAGAAGCGTGCAAGCAAGGCTAAATACGATGCTGCCCGGGATGCACTTACTGCCCTCGCTCCCTTACTCGGAAAATTCGGCTGGACCGATATCATGCGCCCTCTTGGATGGACTGACATGAGGCCCATGGGCGACTTCATTCAAGGACAATCCGAAGGTACTCGTGATATACCGTGGATATGGAAGACACCTGGAGTGCTGCAAGACAACGACGAGGGACTTCAAGATTGTACGTACCATGATATTTTTGAAAGCACAGTGAAGCTGACGGATGGCTGGCAGGTCTTCGCATTGAGTGGTGCAAGGCAAGAGCGCAAGAGGCGCGTTGGTCCGAAGAATTGCTGCTGTTGCTTGAAGAGATGCAGAGGGTACTAATGTTCTTAACTTGGCAGGGGACGTGGTGGTCTGGACTAGCTTCGGCTCGCCATCAAGAGAGATTGGCTGACAGTGAAGGGTCCAGGGCATACGCAAACCGACAATCCGCGCTTCGAGAGGCTATGGCGGAAAAATTCAGACAACGCTGGGCCATTGTCCCTGCTGTCGTAGCCGCTGAGCTAGATGACGATGGCACACTGGACATAGCTGATACCGATAGCACGATGCTCACTATTGAAGGCCCTCCACCATTAGCTGTAGAAGATTAGTTATTCTGTATTCATCATACCATGCGGCAATACATTGATGTATCAGTTATCTTGAGGCTCGAGTATAATGTATCAGCTCTCTTGAATGTATCGGCTCTCTCGAATGTATGATTGTGATGTATCAAGTATCGAATGTATCGTGATGTATCAAGTATCGAAGAATGTATCAGAAATGATGCATCTGACACTGTTCAGTGCATGGTGAGTCACTGGATTTTTGTACCCGATTTTTCGCGGTGCTACCAGTATTGATACATCTAAACTACAGCTACTGGTGCTCATTGTGCAACAACGTTGCGGGTTGACTCGTTTGAAGTGATGTGAAAATATGTCCGAATCCATATTTGTGATCTCGATCTCGAATGTAAGTAGCCGCAGTGTGGTATCCAGTTTGAGTCGACGAAGAGATAATATTGGGCTATTTCCAGGCGAACATTTGGAACCTAGAGCACTGTGCTTCAAGTTCAAGATCAGCGAAACCGAGTCTGGGAGGACAGGAGAATTTGAGGTAAAAGTACAAGTGTATGTATATACATGCACAGGAGCTCAGAAAAATAGACAGCCAAACATACGTTGAACGCCAAACACGATAATGTGGTGTAGATGGTTTGGAGATAGAGCAGGGAAAGTAAACGACCTTGATGGAAACGCAGGCCCGGCCCGATGTTATACAAGTAGTGATATACAGTTTATCTAAGACATACAGACTCGAAATCACGGATGCGGCCTGTGTTTAAAATTAGTTCATGGAGCGCGATTTGAGGCTGACCATGCTCACATCTTCATGTTGTCATATGCAGTACGCTCAAAAGAACGAATATCCCCCAGACCATGGCATGTCGGTAATATCACATTGATCTTCTGTCTCGTAGTATTCAGGGTCAGGGTAGATGGGACCTGCATCAGCCTTAGTAGAGCGTACAACCATGAAAGATCCTGTTGAGAAGTCACCTGTCATGTACTCCTGAACATGCATCTGCGGCACTGCGCTGGCAGATGATGATTGCAGGAGCAGCTCGCAGACCCTTCAGTCACTTTCCATGTAGAACCCTGGCTCCGGATGTGCCAAAAGTCTGTAGAATCATGGCCAGCCAGTCACTGGCCGGAGTATGCAAACTCCAGCTGGCCGGAGTATGTGGAATCAGTGTTGACTGGTGTAGATATATACATATTAGAATTACTGTAAACACAATAACTAGCCTTATGCCTACAAAATGTATAATACAGCTGGCCGGAGTATGTAGAATTAGTGTTTAGTGTTAATATATATATAAATGATTACCATCAGTGGTAGTGGCTAGCTTTATGCCTGCAAGATATAGAATTCAGCTAGCTAGTTGGCTGGCCTGATTTCACTGCAGGTAGAATCAAGCTTGCCAGTATGCAATTCTGTAACCAATGACTGACCAGCCTTGACTCCACTGTTGTAGAATCAAGAATCAAACTGGCCAGGACACAATGTTGAAACTGATAACTGGCCAGTCTTGGTTCTACATGTTGTAAAATCAAGTCAGCCAGTCACTTGTTATTAAGTTGCATACTGGCCAGATAGCCTGTACAACATGTAGAATCAAGACTGGCCAGTTATCAGTTCCAACATTGCATCCTGGCCAGTTTAATTCTACAACCGTAGAATTAAAGCTGGCCGGTTTAATCCTATAGAAGAATCAAGCCTGGCTAATTATTGGTTTGGGATTTCTATACGAGTACTAGTCATTAGTTACAGAATGTCATACTGGCCAGTTATCAGTTTTAATATTGCATCCTGGCCAGTTTGATTTTACACCAGTAGAAACAAGGCTGGCCAGTTATCAGTTCCAACATTGCATCCTGGCCAGTTTGATTTTACACCAGTAGAAACAAGGCTGGCCAGTTATCAGTTCCAACATTGCATCCTGGCCGGTTTGATTTTACACCAGTAGAAACAAGGCTGGCCAGTTATCAGTTCCAACATTGCATCCTGGCCGGTTTAATTTTACACCAGTAGAATCAAGGCTGGCCAGTTATCAGTTCTAACATTGCATCCTGGCCGGTTTAATTCTACAACATGTAGAATCAAGACTGGCCAGTTATTAGTTTTAATATTGCTCGGTTTAATTGTACAATAGTAGAAACAAGGCTGGCCAGTTATCAGTTCCAACATTGCATCCTGGCCGGTTTAATTCTACAACATGTAGAATCAAGACTGGCCAGTTATTAGTTTTAATATTGCTCGGTTTAATTGTACAATAGTAGAAACAAGGCTGGCCAGTTATCAGTTCCAACATTGCATCCTGGCCGGTTTAATTCTACAACATGTAGAATCAAGACTGGCCAGTTATTAGTTTTAATATTGCTCGGTTTAATTGTACAATAGTAGAATCAAGACTAGCTAATTATTGTTTTGTAATTTCTATACTAGTCATTAGTTACAGAATTTCATACTGGCCAGATAGCTTGTACAACATGTAGAATCAAGACTGGCCAGTCATCAGTTTTAATATTGCATCCTGGCCGGTTTAATTGTACAATAGTAGAATCAAGACTGGCCGGTTTTCAATCACAACATTGCATCCCGGCCGGTTTAATTCTACAACATGTAGAATCAAGACTGGCCGGTTTTCAATCACAACATTGCATCCCGGCCGGTTTAATTGTACAATAGTAGAATCAAGACTGGCCGGTTTTCAATCACAACATTGCATTCCGGCCGGTTTGATTTTACAACAGTAGAATCAAGACTGGCTGGTTTTCAATTCCAACATTGCATCCCGGCCGGTTTAATTCTACAACATGTAGAATCAAGACTGGCCAGTTATTAGTTTTAATATTGCTCGGTTTAATTGTACAATAGTAGAATCAAGGCTGATCAGTCATTGGTTTCAGATTTGTATACTGGTCAGATAGTTCCTACGACATGTATGATCAAGACTGGCTGGTTATTGGTTTCAACATTTCATACCGGCCGACTTGATTCTGTCTATTGTAGAATCAAGGCTAACCAGTTATTGGTATCAGAATTACATGGACTGCATAGGGTAGATATAAGCTAGTTATATACTCTTATAAGGGCCAGCCATGTACATACATGCTGTAGGAACCATCTGGCCAGTCCATATCTTAAATACAATTATCTCGGCCAGCTGTAGACTACATAGAGTGGAGCTAGTGCTAGCTAAGCTACCTTGTCATTCATTAGCATTGAGAATTATCCTGTCATATTTTTCCTAGCAAAGACAGTATACCAGATCAAAGTATAAATTGACATCCATTGAAATTTTTCTCTGCCTCCTCAATAAATCTTCCCCACATCAAGACCTGCTGATAAGCATAGGCTTGATGACCAGGTCTGGTGGCTTGGCCACCCCTTCTCTCCCATTCATTCTGGTGGTACTTGAACCAGTTTATGGTCCAACCCATTTCATGTCTTACCAGCCTTAATTCCTCTTGCCATCTATTCCATCTAGCCTTAGCCTTCAACCAGTTCACCCTGTAGACTAGATCGGTTGGAGCTTTAGTGACATATCATAGAGATAAAGATTTTTTCTTACATTTATCTATCCAGGCATCGTCTTGACCTTGGCTTGCATTATTTCCCCTCCAAAACCAAGCCAGCCTGTCTGACCCTTGTCCAAATCTATTTTCTTCTGCCACCTCTTTGTCTATACTGAGCTCTGTAGGCGATATTGGCTGATAAAGACTCCCCAAGGTGGCTTTGTCCATGCCTAGACCTTCCATTGCTGACCTTGCCCTCTGATAGCTTCTTACACACTTGTCAATTTTGAGCTGACAGCGTTGAGCTTCTTGCTTTGACCTAGTCCCAGCCCATGTAGAATTAGCACTTCGAAAATACTGACGATAGATGATGGCCTTATGACCAAGGGCCATTCGAAGCTTTTCGAGGCAGTCATTGGCTTGGCCCTTTCGAAGTTCTAATTCTTCAGCTTGGAGGGGACCCAGTCCGAGAGCCAATACATCCTGGTAGGGCACTGATGATGGCATCCAGATACCCATCTCTTCAGCCAAGATTTCTTCGTCAATATACTCTGAGATCTCTTCATCTGAGACCTCTCCCCAACCATTTTCATCATGACCTGCATAGCAGAATCTAGGATCGTCGGAATGCACTGTTGCAGTTCCAAGATCCATACCAGCAGTCATGGCATCAGCTGTTTCATGAAATTTAGCTATCCTAGCTGTCAATCTCTGTCGCTTCTCTTCTATAGAAACTTTCTGTCCTGGGGTTGCATCAGTAGGAAGTTGTCGAATATCTGCCCTTAGTCCATCCCTAAAATAGTACTATGTCAAACGGTTTCTCTATTTTTATTGGTTACATACTGTAAATCCTCCAGATTGATGCCAGTAATGAGCCAAGAGACTGTCCCAGGTTTGCTAGTGTCGGTATTCTCAGACTCAGTTAATTTGAGTCTAATCTCTGCCATAGTTGGAGCTAGATACAAATACTGATCAGATGTCTATACAAGAATAGCAGCCTCACAACTAGACAGAGTTCACTTACCTTTGTTCATCTGCAACTGATAGATGTCAAGATACTCTCCACATTGTTCCATGGCCTTTTTCTCATCGATCTTCCATATCGAAATCTTCTCAGGGTCCAGAGACAGAGTGAGCTCGTCAAAGGGAGACTTTGTGTCATCAACACCTTTGAGAGCCCGTTTGTACTTTTTCAAGAGAGTCTTCACTGGAAGCTCAATTGTCAAGCTTGTTCAAATGCAAAATTTGGAGGGCTTACTTATTCCCACTATTTTTTTCCAGTTTGAGTCTCGCATATGATCATCAAGAACTTCTTGACGGTGAGCCTGACTCATTGACCGAGCAGTTGGGGAGATCTTATTGAATGGTGCCCACAGAGTCTCCAAAATCTCCCCATCAACATGTCCAGCCCCTTGAATAAAGTTGAGGCTGTACCTTGCAAAGCAAGCTAATTTGTGAGCGCTAAGATGGAATTTTCCAACTGCTGGAACGATGTGCATATTTTCAGGTACAGACAAGCCCTTGCT